TCCCATTTTTCTTCTCCGTTGTTTCTCTCTCTTGGACATGTACACAAGGGGGAGGGAAAAGTGTATGCATCGTTGTTTATTTAAAATTATTTGCTGATTTTCAAGATAGGTTTTGGTCTTAGCCGACACATTCTGTTTTTGTTTTTGTTTTTTTTTTTCTTTAGCCTGGTGTGGAATTGATGACGACCTCCACAGGAGGAAAAATGTGGGACGCCATTCATTTCTACAAGGCGTACTTGCCGCCGGCGGAGTCCAACAGGACCCTTCAATACGTTGTGTTGGCGCTGGATGATGAAAGCAGCTCGGGTTTTGCGGCGCCTAGGAACTGCTCTGCGTGTGTTGAATCAACCGAGAAGAGAGTCTACCCTCTTCTTCGTGAAAACATACACGTGCGCCTATCGGATGGTCCGCCTATGCTCAAACGTGATTGTGACATATACAGTGCGTCATCTAGTGAGTCCAACGAAAAAACGAATATGCAGAAAAGACTCCGTTTCTTTCTTTGTAAGAAGGAGGATGTGGTACCCCCGCAACTCAAGCAGCTGCTGGGAAAGGTGAATTATTGTTTTCTACTGTGTGGGAAGAGTTTCCATGGGGAGGCATGCAGTTGTAACAAGGCCCACTTTTTAAACAAGTCCGTATGGCGTTTAGAACTGAGCACTTTTGGCTTCAAAGAGTTTTATGTATCTAGCGGTTTTTATGTGCATTGTATCAAGACAGAGCAGATACGACCAACAGCTGGATTTTTATTTGCTTGTGGACTTCTTCATGAGGGTGTCATTGAGGCCGCGCAACCCATTCTTTGCCGTTATAGTGAACGATGCCGATACGGTTCACGGTGTCTTTTTGTCCACACTGATATTCGAACGGAGGAGAGAACGGCAATGCAGGCATCATTGCCCTTGAAGAGTCTCCTCAAGGCAGAGTCCTGTTTACCCATGTTTTTGTCACAATTGGATGAGTTGGGATTACATACGGTAGGCGATGTACAGCAGTTGAGCAACAATGCCTTTGATGCCATTGTGGCTAGGAGTGAGCCTCGTTGGCTCGTTCAATGGCTAAACATCGCCCTCGTGCGCGATATTCAAACAAAGCATATGCTAAAAAATGTACTTGCCACTTTTCCGGATATCGCTACACCTGTGTCCTTGCCGCCCTGTTTGACAAATGTCTTGTCACTGATCCAACTCTCTGTCAAGGAGTTCTATTCATTAGTGCTACCTGTGAAGGTTCAGGCAGCGTGTGAGCAAATTCGTACTCGATTTGAGCCTGACCGGCATCACAACATTGTGGACTTGAGGAAAGAGCCCGAAGGCTCCTTTCTTTCCAAACTGTGTCCCATCATTATGTCATTTCGTCAGAAGAACGCTCATGTTAGTTGGCGCAAAAAAGATCCGAATAGGCCTGTTGTGACGTCCTTAATAACGTATATTGACCCTGAAGAATGCGATTGTCAGGTGGACTGTAGTGGACGTGGGAGACCCCCAGCCCTGATGAAACCCAACGGCCGAGAAAGGGAGGAGAAGCATCCACGTAGTACATGGTGCACATGCACGAGGTCCTTTGTGTTGGCAGTAAACTATGAGCTTAGCACACCCAGCGGATCACGGTGTTCTGAACAGAACGCGTTGGGCAAACTTGCATCTATGGGATTGCCAACTAGCGCCATACGAGAAATCTTTGTCCATGGTGAAATGTTGGGTTCGAAGAAGGATCCAAATCCGTTGTTT